ACACTCGCACCCATAGCATTTATACGCTCAACTTAGATATTCTTACATATATGTAGGCGACGTTCGTCACTTCATCAAATACAATTACCTTGACTATTGAAATTATTGGAACAATTCACAAATACGCACGAAACTGAACTATATCTTCTCCTATAGTGTTTATAGTACATTACTCATCAAATTTGCAAATTGTAAAATTAGTCGATTATTTGTCATCGCTTGATCACGTTAACCAACGGCACACAAAGAAATTTCGTTTTGTATTGGGTTATGGTAATTTCCATGGGGAATTTCTGACGTGAAAGATTTGGCAAAACATCCGTCAACAATTTATAAATTCAATTATGAAGTACGATTCAAATTATAAGGGTGGTTTACGGTCATTCCAGCCTACGCACATCATTGAACACAACGTCAACAGTAGATATTCTTACTCAACCTAGAGAAATTCATGGGGTTTGCACTAAACGATAGGCGTTCATTATCCGAATGCATGCCATAGTCGAGATTCATCGTTCATCTCAGAGTCGAAGGATTTTTGAGGACGTCTCAGAGTTCATGGATTCATGGATCATCTGATCTGATGTACAGATCCATTAAAATTGTCGCATGATCTCTAGGAACACCACATCTACACTTGATATCACATCAAAAAAGGGTCGCACTAACCAGGCAGCTGTGTTTCTTTTTTGATCACTTTTAGGATTTCATTACCGAATATCGAGAATGATTTCCTTTCTTCTTCATACATTGGTGATCGTGGTACATAGTTGAATGAATATGCATAAACCGGTATTCCATTCTGTGCATATCCTTCAATTTCACGTTGTGCTGGTGAAACAAACTCTATATCAGCTTCCAACTTAAAGTATGATTAAATTTCTTATTTGTTTGAAATGATTTTCGATTGATTAGATTGTAGGTGCAATCCATTCGCGAACTCATCAATCTTACACTGAGCCCAACATGAAGTCAGAAACCAATTCATCCGCTAGTTGGAATAGATATCATTGGAACTCATAAACATAAATTATACGATTGCAGCGATCAGGGGTATACATCTTTGTTTGAATGTTCGGAGCAAGAAAAATTCCTATGAAATCAAGTCCTATGAAATCAGTCCTATGAAATCAGAGTGAGATCAAAAGTGATTCTTCACCGCTGATCATTTTCATATTGCTAGATTTATTCAAGCTGCAGTGATTCTCTGATGGATGTTTCGTTTGACTAAAATAGATTAAATGAAATTCCATGTGCAATGTTGTTACAAGCGAATGGCAAATGATGATACCTCTTGAAGACGTGCAACAACTCTTGATAGTGTCCAGTCACTCTCGGGCGTGTCCAAATACCTTCAAATTCCTAAGTTGGCTCATAAGTAATCAGTGAAGCTTGCTTCACAGCGACATTCTGTCGAAGTGCATAAATGATTCATGAGATAATGGATGCAAACAATTATCGTATTTAAACGGAAGCATTCCGCATCAAAATCTTGTACTTTCAGAACACTCGACCCTATTAATTGGTGCATTATGTGAATGTTTCGCGTAAATTTAGCTGAAAATACTACGGAGATCTTGTGCAATGTATTTGCAAACACGTCTGTCTCGCAACAACTCACAATGTAAATGGAATATGCAAACGTCTCAAGCAAATTGATTTTCAGCGTCATGTTTCAGCTTTGTTTCAATGTTTGTTTTTAATGGTTCTCTGGATCAGCTATTAATAATTTAGAACTAAGTCCACTGAAACCGCGTTTAGTTGTATTGTATGACCAGTTCATTATTCCTCCGTTAATAATTATATTCAGTTTGATCAGTATTATAATTGAAGTTCATTTCATTGTTTGATTGATATCTTTTTAATTGTGCGTTTCAGAATCAACTTTTTCTGTATAAAATTATTCATTTTAAAGACTACTGCGACAAGACAACCAAAGCAAAAAATTTCGCTGTTACAAATGCCATATAAGTGGGAGAAAAGAATCACATCTTGCTCCACAACTCACTTTTTGATAGAAGATTTCTACGATTCGNCATTAACAATGGATAAATGATACTAGTTGGAAGATATAATTTCATAACTAAATCTCGCTGTATGCGATTATAACTTGAGTTCCAACGATGAGTAGCTGACAGTTCTATGCAGCGATATTTTTCAGTGTGATATCAATTGTTTAAACTTGAAGAATCAGCAACCACAGCTGTGCGTGGGTTCATTTTATTAAATGTGTAACAGTCCTAAGAGGTAATCTCAAGGTGGTTGTCAGGAGCAAAATCTCATCTTAGTTTAAAAAAAAAGTTGATTCCATTTGCGAGCTCCAGTTAAGACAGCCAATAGAGATTTTTCAGAGACAACAAATTTAGTTTTTGTAATTCTGAAGTGGTTTTCAAATTCTGGTTGATAATTTATAGATTAGTAGAGACTAGATTTCAAACATGGATAGATTCATTTGATCGACTGACGTTTCTTATGCGCCCATTCACTTTCAGCCACACCCAACATGATCGGAACACGTGCGTGGTTACGAATCAAATTTTCTCCAGATTCTGGTATCAAATCGCCGTCAACGACCATTTTGGAAACACCCAACTGAAATTTCCAAATCATTACATTGAACAGAACATCAGCTGAGCTCTTCCTGCTTTGAGCAAATTGACATATTTATAAGTGTGACCGAAATTATGTGTATGATAATTTCTAAAAATAAACTTGGATGAAATTCGAGTACGCTTGAAATGCAGAGTAGTAGAGGCTAATAGATCTTATATGTGCGGATGCTCCAAACATAGGAACACCAATTTTCCGAGGAAAGTAGGAAATTACTGCGTAGGAAACAACAACAAAAATATTGACATATCGAACGATGCCAAGTGTTTTTATGAGGCGTTGAGGATTTCTGATTCTCAATGGATTGATCTGACATATCAAGANGTCAAATGGCATTGATGAACGAGGCTGTGTTCGGTACAACGGTCCCATTCATAATATTCAAATTTACGAGGAAGCTGACACTGACATTTCATTTTGATAAGAGCAATCGTTCGCTATGCTCTGTCAAGCGGCACTGCGCAAACATTCCCGAAAATAGATTAAATGATCATGGAAATAGAACAAGTATTCCCAAGTGAAGGAAAATGTTGCATTGGGCACTATCAACTTCCAAAGTTCTATTGATGAGATAGGTACATAATGATGGTTTAAATTCGCAATCGCATTTCAAATGGTCTAGGCCAAAGCTCCACTGAAAAAAACCACGACTGTGGCTTAAGTGCATGTATTTGCTCAACTCGACTACGCAAACTGCATGTAACAAGGAACGAACCTCGTTTGCAAGTGCATTCCTGAAAAGAGATGACGAGAAATTGGCCTCGTCTCGTAGACATTCGATCAATTCATTACCCTGTAGATCACCTCCATTCTGTAAGCATTTTGTCGTTTAATGTATCGATATTTTAGTTTTTTCGATTTATTTCAATTTATTTTCGGATTACTACAAACTGAATGAATGCAACGAATCGAGTTTATTGATGTGAACTATCGTGAACAGAAGCATTTTTCGGAAAGATGTTTCCCAGGAGAGAATTCTATTTCAGTACTGTTTCAAATACTACTCAAATTTACTAGTTATGTAGTTCAACAAGGATTCAAATAAAATTTCAAATACTACTCAAACATTTGTTCTGCAAATGGTATGTAATTCAACAAGTTGGCAGCTTCAAGTATTTCGAACATGAATTGTGTTACACAAACGTGAAATAAATTTTCACATGAATTTTTAAAGTATTTATTTTTGGATTTTCAACTTACAATCAGACAATCTGCTACAGTTTCCTGCAGATTGCAATGGT